CTTGGTGGAAATCACCATCTGATCTGTTGATGGCAGCTTTTTCTGGGCTTTTAACCATATTTTTCCTTCTTGATCTGAGTGTTGCCTTTGATACCATCTCACATAACACCCATCTAGAGAGATTAGCTTCCTTTGGAATAACTGACTCATCTCTTGCCTGGTTAGATCTTATCTCTCTAGCCACACTTTGTTTGTCCAACTAATTTTCAGATCACAGTCTTTTCCAGCTACTAGTGGTGTTCTTCAGGGCTCTGTCTTGGGCCCCTTTCTATTTATCATTTACCTTCTAACTTTTGGCCATATTTTTAGGAAATTCAGCACTCAATTCCAGTGCTATGCCAATTACATCCAACCCTATCCACCCACCAAGCCTAGGGGAGAGTGGGGCACAACTTTATGTGGGGTAAATTGTAAAATGGACTTTTTGTGTGGTTACACAGGGTTGATACTTTTGTGCCTCTGGCCATTTGACCACAATACCACCAAACAGTGACCAGCAAAATTCCACTGAGATTTAATGTGTTTCAGAGGAGTTCAGTGACAAAGAGTGTTTTCGGCCAACATAAGGAAATTTCTTTGTTATACTAACTGTCTTGTTGCCTAAAACAGCACCATTTTGATTCATGTAACCAATTCTCAAACTTATGTTCAGTTTGAAGGAATGTCCTTGATTAAATGAGATATACTTTGTATTTTTACCTTGTAAGGTATCTTATTGACACACAGTTTCTCAGTCTTGTCAATATCCATTCATTCAATACTCATATTTTGACATGTGGATCTAGGTTACCCAATCTAAGTATAAGTTCTAGGAAAAACAACAACTGTTCATTTGTGGTAGAGATGTGCATGTTGTTAGATTAAAACAGAAAAATAATTAATCTTAGACAGTTTTAATGACATTTAGCCAAAACTAAAATGTGTAAAGTTGTGCCCCACTCTCCCCTACTTCCACTCTCCTGCCCACATCCCTTTCTGACTGTTTATTGGCTATTAAGTCTCTGTTCTCGTACAACCTCCTCAAACAAACAGTGACAAAGCTGAGGATCTCCTTGTAGGTACTAAATCTACCTTGGCTAAACCACATAGATTTCTCTGACAAGTGACAGCTCCAAAGCCCTTTCTTTCCCTCACCTGCTGCTTACATTGAACAGATTCACTATTCTTGTTCGCACCTTGGTTATATCTTGCATTGATTATTACAATTCTGTCTACTTTGGTCCTCCTCTTTAGTGTATTCACTTGGTCCAGAATTCACTCACATCATTACTAGAACCCCCTCCATAGATCATATCCCTCCTGTTCTCCAGCACCTTCACTGGATTCCTCTTAAAAATTGCATCAATTTCAAGATTCTGCCTCTCACCTGTAAGGCTCTTCATAACCATGCCCCTCTATCTTTCTAAACTCTTGCATATCTACACACCCTCCCCTACTCTTAGATCCTCCTCTGCAATCCAACTCACATCAACATCTGCCCGCTTGACTACTATGGGTCCTAGAGCCTTCAGCTGTTCTGCACCCACCTTTGGAAATCTCTCCTCCACGCCATTCACAATATTGATTCCTTTTCCACCCTCGAATTCCATCTGAAAACACACTCATCTTCCATGCAGAAGGTCCAGGGCTCGGATCCTGCTGGAGTTGACGTCAGCAAAGGCATACGGTCGCAAGAGGTTCCCACCACCGAATCAAACGGGATCAGATTAATCTGAGCCAAGTCCTCAACGAAGGCGCGTCTCAAGCCTGTCGTAGACTGGAGGTTCCAGACGTAAAAGTCGATTCATAGTACTGATTTGTTTGAACTCATTATCTATGGATACATTGCTGCTTGTTTTTAACCTTTGTATAAGGTGACCTTGTGTGCTATGAAAGGCACCTATAGATAAGATGCTGGGGTGCCCCATAGCTCACTTGGTAGAACAGGCGTTCCATATATGAAGCTACGTCCTTGCTGCAGCTCTTTGCTGTTTGTCAACCCCTGTCTCTCCCCCCATTTCATGCTAAAAAACTAAATAAAGGCAAAAGCCAATCATCTATAATTGCATTATTATCAAAATAATCCACGCACCTGACAGTGTGGCATAGCAAGATGCTGATAAAACAGCATCATTTTTACACGTGCTGTAGGCTGGACACAATCATTTTTTTTAAACTGGTGAAAAGATGAGATTGAGAACAAGTGTTTATATTTTTGTTCAGTTTAGTTCTGCCATGAGAGAATTGTTACAGGCTGGGTACAGATGCTGAGTAGAGACAGCTTGTGGGATTTTTGCTAACAGCATGGCCCAGTTGATTTTCTTTGTATGTACAGTTACAGAGTATATCATGTGTTCTAATGTTTTTCTGTTTGTTAGTTTATTCATCATTCTGGACAAAAAATGTTCAATTAATAAGGACAATTTCCCATATCTAATTACCATTGTTAAGTTCTTTTAGAAAGGTGGCATGGTGGTGGGAACTCCACTGATTTTACACAATGTCAGTGTACAGTGAAAACAGTTGTATAATGGGGCGTCGGTAGTGGATAGTGCCGGCGCTCCATGTACAGAGGCAATGCCTCACTGCAGCAGTCGCAGGTTCGATTCCTGTTTGCAACCCTTTGCTGTATGTCATCCCCCCGCTCACTCTCCCTCTCTCCCCATTCCACACACTGTCCTGTCAATTAAAGGCAAAAAGGCCAAAAAATAATCTAAAAAAAAAAACCAGTTGTATAATGTTCTACGTGTTTCTGGAGTGGCTTTGTCACGTGTGAAAAACGCTCAGACTACAAAGTCTGCATTACAAACTGAAAGCTCAGGGTTTGAAATACTTACTAAATATTTACCATATCAAAATTCCATATTTTTTCAGACTCAAATTTTCTGACCTCACAGTAGATTTCAGACCATATTTGACATCTGAGTACAAATAGCTAGATGTTTTAAGAGTGCTCGAGGAATGAGACCAAAAACCTGGAAATGAGTTAGCATTTTTGCACTTCTAGCTCCCTCGTCTCAAAGTCAGTGCATCTTTTAAATGAATTTGGAGGATGCTAACAAGTGGCTAAATGAGACTACAGAATGTCATTACGCCGAACACAGCTTTACAGCCTCTTTGTAGTAGCAACGTTATGTTGTTACATGGGATCGCAGTGTAGTTTGTTTATAGCCTATTTTAAGCTTTTTACTTCTGGCAATTTCATTTAGGTTTCAAAAATCATAATGTGGTTTTCATTTGTGAAGATTATCTTGCTGACCAAGAAGTGTAAGTATCATAAATGTTTGTCTGCCACAGAGCTTCTTTTCAGCAATAATCCAAAATCCAATGGAAAAATCCCATAAGCTTTTTGTCAAGGGAACCAGGGCAACGCTAATTTCCGTGTTGGCCTACAAAAAAATGTCATCCCTGGAGCACTTTATGCAAATAAATTGTTTTAAATCCACCTATTAACATGTATCTTACATTCTGACTATGTATGCTGATGTTGCCAAAGAATTGTCAGACGACTGTAGCTATGTACTGTAGCTCATACAAATCAATTAATAAATAGCATTATGTCAGTGTTGCCCCCATATTTTTCAGTCTCTTTTATATATGAGATGAAAAATTTTTAATAATTAATTTTCAACGGCGTCTGTGCAGGCGTGTTTATTCACAGTGCCCATGGTAACAATGATGGACACACCTCTAAAGGTTTCCTTATGCAGTAAAGAGAGGCCGTTCACTTTTCTGATAACTACATCACTGCGTAACTCATAAATTCTCAGCTTAATATTTAATTATTTGTGGTGCTAATATTTATATGCAATTAAGGATATTGCAGCATTTTCTTCCAAACTAATGTGGTAGCAGATGTCTGGATTTAGTACAGTAATACGGTACCTGGGCAGAGCTGTTATGCAGGCTGTGACAAACAGGCATAGATGCAGCTCTGCATGGGAGTTTGCATTTAGCTGTACACAGCAGTTCCTGCCTTGCCTTCAACGACATCAAGCTCACCCTGACACTCACTCACACAGTGGCAAACATTTTAGCTGCTCTACCTGCCTGCCTGCCTGCTCCAAACGCCATGAAAAACACTCAGCTTGTGTGATCAATTTATTTTTAGAAAATTCTGAATTTCATGTTCTGGAAAACAGAATAGGGGCAAGTCTGAAAACACATATTCTGCATACTCTTTTTTAGTGAATTACTAACATCAAAATCCATACTTTTCCATACTGCGTGGGAACCAAACTGTATAGAAAGATGAACGTCTCCACTTCGTCCCACTGTACAATAACGTCTCTGTGGTATCAAAGGCCCACCCATTCACCCACCCAACAAATTGCTAGCAGCGCCACTGATCGTTGAGTACACCGATTGGCACGCACAGCTGTCATCAGGACATAAAACCCCCTTTTTATGGCAACAAGTTCAAACCAAACTTGTCAGGCGAATTAACACTTGAACATACATCAGTGTGATAAGAACTTCCTAAAATGATACAAACCATCTTTGGGACAAATTTGTTCGATGTTTATGACCGACACTCGACCAGCCATCAGTGAGTGATTGAGAGGTCTTGGCCTCACCTTTGGGGAGCTGTCATGTCGTCCATCTTTATATACAGCCTATTGTAGGAAACCTGTAAACATTTAACTGGCAGGGGGAGTCTAATAGATGCTACTGGTTGCACTGTGGAAAATGTAGGATACAGCCTTTTGGTCCTTGACTCATAATAGGAATAAATGTCAGGATATCTTGGCCCGCTGCTTCAATTCTGACCAGGTGCCTGTATAAACAGGGAGAACGATTACAGCAAGCAAGAACCTGTTTCACCACTCAAATGGGCACCTGACTATTAAAACAGACTTTAAAAACTGTGATCATTTACAAGATGAGCCACTGTATTTGGCTAATGACATTTACTTTCTCTGTCATGAGCAATCACTATTGTTTCCAGCAGAAAATGTATTGCTATACCACTGTAATACAATGTACTCTAATTTGCCCTTGAGAATCATGACACAAATGCGTGCAAAAGTAATAACGTTTAATTCAAATAAAACCATGCAACAGGTCACCATCACCCTGATTAGATTCAACCTGTTATAAAATAAACATCCAAAGCCGTACATTGCATTCAGTGGGCATTCACTGTATGAGAGAAGAGACGGCTCCATGGAGTATACACAGGTCAGCCCAGAGACTAAAGAAACCAAAACAAGAACCCAAAAACAGCAACAAAAAAATCACAGCTCCTCCTGCTCAGTACAGTGGTGACCCTGAAAAGGTGCCAAGCACACAAACTATGCTCTCTGAATAAAGAAAGCACAGGGACCTGTAGCCCCCCTCCCTATCCCCCTCCCACTGGCTGCTAATAATCAATCACCATCACAAAGCGCTATGAACCATATGGCACACAGAAGACAAGTCTGAGAACATGAGTGATGAGCCAGCAGTGCCCTGTTGATACATATGTTACTGAATGTCTAGTAGCAGTTTATTCCCATGTACCGGGCATGCATTCATAAGGAAGGCCCGTGAAATTCACATCGTCGGGATTGCGGAAGCTGGGGAATTTGAGATTAACCTGGGAGGCCAAGCAAAGCATTGTGTTGGGAACATTGTTTCTCTATGAGGGGAATCTATTTCAGCATACTGCAAGATGCTGGTTTGTCATTTCAAAAACAATCCAGATCTAGATGTTAAAACATTTTGGTTGGAGTACAGAGCAATATATGTTTGGCCGAGCAGTGGGTTAATTCAAATCCCTTCCCACAATACCTATATAACATGGACTAACTGTCGCCACTTGTGAAGAATCCAGCGGGCACACACATAATTGGTACACTCAATCAGGTCATTTGTTATTTTACAATCTGGATGTAGAACACAAAGATAATAAAAAATAACATAGGTAAGATGTACAGTAATTTTTTTTTTTGTAATGTCTGGTCTGCACCGTGACCTTTGATGGATGACTGGGCACTGGGTGCACATCCCTCTCTCTGTCCAATGGGAGGCTCCTGAGGGAGGAAGTGGGAGTCGAGAGTCTTCAATAACATCATGGTTGTGTAGTTTGAAAGTGGTACAGTCAGTGTTAGGTGTTTAGGATGCTATGCGTGTGTGTGTGTGTGTGTGTGTGTGTCTGTCTGTCTGTGTGTGTGTCTGTGTGTGTCCGTGTGTGTGGCGAGCAGCAGGTGCCTTAGTACATCTGGCCTTCAGGCGGCTGGGAAAGCTTGTTGTTTTCTTTCAGCGTCATGTGCTGTCTGAGCTCCTGCAGCACCATCCGGATGGTGAAGGAGTTTTTCCACCTGGACAGCGATGACAATGACTTTGCTTCCACCTGAGGGGAGAGGGGCACATCATTTTATTATGGCCTAAATAAGAAACCTATTGAGCAGCACAGCATTAAGGTTAAAGGTATACTATGTGGGATTTCCCTCAAAAAACAATGTATAGACTCATACAATAGAAATCCTTCTCAGTCGGCAGTTATGACCCACGCTCAGTGTGTGTTGGTGAATTTATCTGCAGGGACTCTGCCCTCTGCCTGTATGTTCTTATTTTCTTCTTACTATATTCAGGATGTTTTTGGGCACAGCAGGCAGGTGGCAGCGACCAGGCGCCGGCCTGTATGCAGCATGCAACCAAGAGGAAGCTACGAAAATTACAAACACAGCACCGAAAAAATGCGTGTATATAATGCGTGTATATGCAGCGCAGCGAAACGGCAAGCAGACAAAGCTGGGGTCGACTTTCGCTTTTGCTGGAAACACTGTTTACAAACAGTAACTGACAATTCCTGCATAGTTCCTCTTTATATCCAATGCTAGGCTAAAGCAGCGTGTTGGCATAAAGAGAACAATTAAAAATATTTTAAATCAAATTGGGGATGTCATCGGTTGACTGTGTATTGGTTAACCGCTGAGAACATTTTTGAGCGGTTACACATAGCGGTCTATAGGCTAATTTTACAATTCTTCAGTTTACTGCACTGTGCACCACCCGGGTCTGGTGGGAGGTAGCTAGTGTTAGTGGTGCTGCTCAACCAGCCATTACCACTAGTAATACCTTCCCAACCCAGGAGTGTTGCTGTGGAAGCACTGTCATGGCAGGATGGGATAATGGGTAGCTAGGGTGTGATGTTTTGACGACATGTTATATGTGCAACCCATCGCGGGAGATTTAAAAAGTTGCTGATAGTGGTTAGCAGCTAACTCAAAGAAGAACAGCAGGTGAAAATGTCCACAAATTGGGAAAACGATGAGTTCCAGGAGCTCCTTACCCTCTGGGCAAAAAACAAAATCATCCGCCATTTCACAGAGACGTTAAATGATTGTTATTGCCATGTTAATGCCATTGTTATTGTTTAAAAAGCCCTGCCAACGCATACGTCACACGTCACACGAGAGGCTGATGCTGTTGTGTTACATGTCACGCTGCTTTTGATTCCATGATGCTGGCACGCTCTCTCGAATCACACACTGGAGCAGCATGATGCTGCAGTCATTTGGTTCTGTGTACAAATGCAAAGGAGGCATAAAGAAGGGACTTCGTAGCAGCTCTTTAGTGTGATCTCTGTGTACAGAGGGCTTATAACTCTGAAACAACTTACTAATAAAAGCTACCACTAAGACAAACATAAATCAAGTCTTAAATACAACTAGCAACAGTGGCTCCTACTGGGAGCCCAGTAGCGTTTAGTTAATTGTATGTATGATGCACTGGTCTAAATTAGTCCACATAATACCAATAAACACGTCAAATTAATGATTACACGTAGAATGTTGATCAAAGAATGGATGTGTGTTGAAATTTGGGTACTCACCACACCATTTGAAACGTGAACGCAGTTCATGTTGATCTTGTTTAAAAAGCGGACTTGAGGGGGAGTCTCTGGGTATCTGGATCCGCATTCTATTTTCAGACAATATATCCTGCCTTCATAGACAGTCTGCCATTAAAGAAAAGATGACAGGTTAGCTCAGAGAGTTAGAATCAAGGAACTGTGATGTTACGTGATGTAGATTTAGTAGTTGCCATTAATTAACCACATTTGTTGACTGAGCTTGACAGTTTCATTGTTGGCCTTAAAACGACAGTTGACAAAACACTTACTCTTATGATCCACTTTGATGCTTGTTCTAAAGCTTTTGACCAAATCACAGAAATCCTGAACATCTACAGTTTCATTACAACTAAGTTGACTGTGTTGACAAGAATCTTGTGATTTATGTATTACATGTTTAATGTTGACAAAGGACAAGGAGTCAGTAGGCCTAACGTTGCATGATAATAATGACCAACTTTTAATGGACTGAGTGGTTAGATGAGAATATGCACAAACAAGTACCAAAACAGAGTGAAGTCTCAGCTCTGATTGCAGCTGTTCACAGCTGCTTAATGCCGTTTGTGAATTCTGTGTCTGTTCACAACATCAGTAATCCACCTGCTGGAATGGTGGGCACTCAGTTGGTGGTAAACACTGAGGAAACACTGACAACAGCAGCAGCTGTGTGAACATTAAGGCTGATTTTACTTTTCAGTGTCCCTTGAAATGACTAGAAATGCTATAGTCACCTTAGGGTAGAGATGGGTCAATATAAAAATTTCATGTAATGATTATTATTGCAATTGACAATATTATCCCAATAATGATCAAAATGTGCCTAAAACTCTTGGCTAAATGGCACTAAAACATAATGGAATCACTTTACCTTACACTTTGTTTAGAAAGAAATATTTTATTGCATCACAGATAGGACACACATCTTATTTTAGTGAGCAACTTTTTCTAGTGAATAACAAACAAAAAATACAGGCTTTTCAACTGTATGCAATGGCATTGTATCTTTCAATATGGAATAAGCCAATGCTTGATGAAGATCTTTTGGGTTTTTTGAGGTGAGTATGTATTAAGAACGCACTGATTTATCAGTTGAACATTGGTATCGGCCGATACTCACCTTGTTTACTGCCATCAGCCTATCAGCAAGTGAGATGACATTCACTCATGGCAGTAATTTTGCACAGGCTAAAAAGCAGGGCTGGAGACTAACGGCCACAAACTTAAATTAATGAGCAGAAGAATACAATGACTGTTTGGCAAACAGGCTCTGTGATCTTACTGTTGTGAGACAAGATGGCTGGTAGCAGCCGGCGTCCCTGGGACAACTGAAACATGTTTGGGACGAAGAGAGATCTTGCCCAGGATGCCTTTAGTACAAAAGCATGCAGTAAAACTCACTATTATTGCATCAGAGGACATAAAATCATTGATATTGGCCCCGAAATGTAATATTGGTACATCCCTAGTGTGTATACAGCCTCTTTTTCCAGAGTCTCTTTTATTGTTGGTGACCCAGCAGTGTCTTAGGGTGCTGCCAGACACAATAATCCCGATATAAAAATTCAACAGAGTCACATTACAGTGAGCATTTGTGTTAAGACCCATGATAAAATCATATATTGTCCCACTCCCATCCCTACCTTGTGAACTCACACTTTAACTTACTGCCATTGCAGCCTAACCACCAACATCTTTGTACGTTGTCAAATTTGTTCCACCACCACAGTGGTAAAGGAACAAGGTTGCTACATTCAATACTGCAAAAACACAAGTGCATGCATGCACTTCTCTCTACTTCTAAAACCACACAAGGAAATAGTACATCATCTTAACGTTCTGGAGGGTAGGCTGAACCATGCGAATGCCACCAAAGGGAACACAACCACCCACAATGTTGGCTCTCAGGAAAACACGTATCTTCCAGTTTCTAGCGCACTGCAAAAGAATTTGCACAAACTCAAACACATCCAGCTCCTCAGAGTACAGTCACTATGTAACCATCTTTCTGGCTGCAGTGCGGACAGACCCTAGTTAGTAGATCTGGTGTTGTGCAAAAAATTATACAACTTAACGGGCCCAACTAACTGACACACAAAACCATCCCATTAATTTGTTCTTCTACCACATACTACTGGTTGATTTACATAAGAATGTGAGAATATGATCGCTGACATGCCTGTGTCAGAGTTCAGAACATTTCTGTTTTGCATTTATGATCAAATTACAGGATGAAAGAGTTTTCTGGTTCGGCAACAGTTTCATTTTAATACCTTGCATCCCTCATATGCTCAATTTCTACACAGCTGAGATATGTGCACTGCACCATACTAAAGGCAACAACACTATAGAAGGGGATGACTACTTTGAGTCTCCTGATGCTCCTCATCCAACATAGCTTGATGTTTTGAAAGTTAAAATTAGGCATGAATGACAGTTGCATATTTTGCCGACATGCTGACAAAGAGCAAGTTTTCTTGCCTGATATTTACTTGTTTCTAATTCACTTTATCGCAGCTCATCCTCAACAAGAAGTGTTACCAAAGCATCTACCATACTACTGCTGTTGGATCACTAGCTGATAGAGATGTAGCGTCATACCTGAAACCTTGTGTACCACATGTACGCCATTTAACAGCGTTCCCCTGCCCTGGCAACTATGCATGTGTACAAGTGCAGCACACCACTTGCCTAACGCTTTGGGTATTTGTACTGAACTGTCACAGAACGGAGGGTCACAGTTCAGTGCATGCAGCTGCTTGTGGAATACACCATATATAGACTGATGCGGAACTAGATTTCACATGCAGGAGTTGCACCTGGAAACCTTTAGCAGTACACTATTAGCAACAGGAGCTGTGGTTAGCACAACAAGCTGATTAACGTGTAAGTCAGTCACACTATGGTGTGACCTGTTGCCTTTTGGGAGAGTGTATGTTCAGTGTTAGTCCAGTGTAATACAGAAGTGTTTGAACTGTTTCATTTTTTCATACTGAAAACAGTTGATCCAAGTTGCCAGTGAGCAAAATCTTAACTCAATCTTGAGCAGGAGGACTGTGTCTGTCTCTGACACTTGCACTACTGTCTGTTCAAAATAAATCAAAGGAAACATACTTATGCAACTGTTTTTTCTTCTGCTGCATATCAGTGTATAAAATCAAACCGTGACTTATGTGTACCGTTACAGCACCCACACAACCAAATGAAAGGCAGCCAGTGTTTACTATATTTCTCTTCTTATGAGACAACTGGTTGATCCAAGTCAGCACAAGCATCATTTACCCCTCATGGACTGGTTTAAAATGTAGTGAAAACTACTCATGAGAGACAAACTAACACTGCATCAGTGAGCATTTGTGCCACTCAAAATATTTTCTTTGTTTAACTTTGAACAATCCTGAACTCCTGAACTGCTAATAGTTAGGTGGTCATTTTTTGTCTTACAAGGACATTTGTTCAAATCAGATTTTCCAATCCAATAACCAACTGAACAGGAGAGCAGTATGATCTGTTAAGGCCAAAACACACTGGCGGCGTCATATGACGCGAGTCAAGTGCCGCCTCCAACACACACAAAAAGCGTCGCGCTGCGGGGCGTCAACCAGATTTCTATTGCACACTCCAGTTCGCTAGGCTGGGAAGTACAAAATAGCGCTTTTTCAAGGGCGGCGACGCTGGAAAAATAGGACAATAGCATAAAGTGCCGCGGCGCGGCTGGTCGACGCGCGTCGAGCCGCCGCCGGTGTGGGTTTGTAAATAGAAAATAATGGGGGTGGCTGTTTTGACGCGCGTCGTACGCCGCCGGTGTGTTTTGGCCATTAGTGTTGTGGACCCTGGGGGCAGCTCACCTTGGCAGGGCCGATGATCGTGCCATTCCAGTGAGTTAGCGTCATGTCGTCATCATTTGCAAGGCCCCAGCTCACTGTACCGTCACCCACTCCCTTCTGACCTTCCTCCAATTCCTCCAGCAGCCGAAAGTTGCGGGGAACTATGACGTGTCCTTCTCACACACACACACACACACACAGAGAAAAGGGGATCATTAAATGAAAATTCTGCCATATCATACTCAATAATCCTTCTTAACAGAAGTTGCTGACTAAGAGCTAGACTGACCTAAAAAAAAGGTGTGTGTTAAATAAAACAACAACCAAAAAAAAAACCCAATTAGGATTCTTATAATTGATAGTATAGAATTATTCTTATATTTTCAAAGTAGCTATATCTGTCAGTGAATCCTACCATAACACAGTATTATCTATCAACCTCCTAACATGTTAAAATGACTCAGCTGGGCATGCTTTTTTACATCACATTGTTTCACATCAGAGTGCAAAATCCACTGCCAATCTCAATAAGACTGCTTTTGCCATGCTTGTTTTTTTTTTTGTTTGTTTGTTTTTCCCCTTTCCCTGCACAAACAAACAAACACAAGTGGACAATAAGGAAAGGTTAATTGGTGATACTTGTATGTCACCTAGAAAATGTCCTTGCAAACAAGCAAAACAGAAACACAAAACAACAACATCATAAAAAGAAAATACACCAAAAAGCAGACCCACAGGTCACAACAAACTTCATTCACACCCCTATCGGCCCCATCCACCCCTCCCCACCCTGTCTCAGACTGCAGTTAAAGTTTGTTTTCCTTTATATTTCCTGTAAGGTATGAGATTAAAGGTTGCCAGATTTCTTCAAATTCATTTAGTTTATCTTTAATAATAAATTGGATTTTTTCTAGATGGAGCGTATCAGTCAGTTCTGTGAGCCATAACTTCAATGTTGGGGCAGCTTCCTTTTTCCAATACAACAAGAGCAGTTTCTTAGCTATAATGAGTCCATATGACAAAAGTCTTTGTTGTGCCCGTTTCAACCTTTTAATCTCTGTCGATATGCCCAAAATTATTAAGACTGGATCTGGGTCTATCTGAACATTTCATATCTTTGAGAAAAAAAATAAAAAATACAGATCTCAATCCAGTAAGTTTGTATTTCATGACAGAGAGCAAAACTGTGCAGTAAGTTATCTTCTTCTGACTCACATTTCTCACACACTGGAGAAACCTCCGGAAATATTTTATGCAACTTTTTCTTAGAATAATAAAATCTATGTATAATTTTAAACTGTATTAAACAGTGGCGTGCATTTATCGAGCAAGTATGAATGTAGGCCAGACTCTCATTCCATATGTTGTCTTCTATTTGGACACCTAGCTCTTTTTCCCACTCTGCTTTCACAGCGATTGTAGATGGGCAACTCATATCTTGTAATGTATTGTAAATAAATGATATTGTTGATTGAACCCCAGTAGACCCTTTCAAACATTCATCCAATTTATCTGGTTTGGCATTTATGAACTGGGGAAGATGTACTTTCACATAATCTCTAATCTGAAAGAATCTGAATTGTTGATTTTGCAGCAGGTGATATTTCTGTTGAAGTTGAGAGAAGGATGCAAAAGTGCCGTTTAAGTCTCCAATATTACGTATCCCCAGCTCTTTCCAGATGCTGAAGGACCTGTCTAAATTAGATGGACTGAAAGAGGGATTTGCTGATATCGGCAACCCAAAGGACATTTTTCATTTAAAGTATTTTGATATCTGTTTTTTATCAAGAGGAACTGGAGATAGAATAACTGCACCGATAGAGTATGGCAGACAGTCCTCTTGCTCCATCTCCAGTCGGTCTGAAAGCAGAGCAGTATCATCTAACCAAGATGCAATAAGACAGATAGTTGAAGCCCAGTAATAATACATAAAATTAGGCAGAGCAAGTCCTCCATGGAGCTTATGCTTGCAGAGATGTTCTTTCTTAATTCTATGGGATTTATAGTTCCATATGAAGGGAAGAATTATTGAATCTAGCCTCTTAAAGAAAGATTTGGTTAAAAAAATGGTATGTTTTGGAGGAGATAAAGTAGTTGTGGAAGAAAAACCATCTTAATTGTATTTATCCTCCCTACTAATGAAATTGTGTCCTTCAAAACTGAATATTGTCCTAAGTTTATCTAGTAATGGAGGAAAGTTCACCTTAAATAATGAATCATACTCTTTAGTAATCACAGTTCCCAAGTAAGTGAATTTTTCTGTTATTATTTTAAATGGAAGTGATTCGAGCCAACCATAATCCTCCATTTGTATAGGCATCAGCAGACTTTTACACCAATTAACTCTATATCCAGAAAAGTTATCAAATGAATTAATAATATAGAAGGTATTGTAGTTTTCGGTTGAGATATATATAACAAAATATCATCCGCGAACAGTGATATCTTGTTTACAGTATGTTCCGCGTCATAACCATGTATATCTGGATGGCATCGAATGGTCTCTGCAAGTGGCTCCATCACTAAAGCAAATAATAAAAGGCTAAGTGTGCACCCCTGTCTAGTTCCTCTACATAATTTAAACTGAGCAGATAATGTCTGATTTAACAGTATCCTTGCAGTGGGATTACTATACCAGCTGGGCATGTTTTAAACAACTTTTTTTAAGTTTAACTGAACTGTTTACAATAGTGTTCTAAGTCTAGATGTGATATCTGTGTAACTGCACTGTTGAAAACTAGCCTACGACTCTTCTTATGAGCTGCCCTAGGTTTCTGACTAATTACACCCTTAGGCATAACCCATGGAAGATCTTCCGTCTTGTAAAGATGTTTTTCGACGTACCTGTTCTTCAAGATTTTTATGCAAGTGCAAAGAAATAGTCTTAATACGTTTCATTATTGAACATCCTAAAATAATTGGGTTTACTGCCGGCAAATAAACGTGATCAATGAATGCAACTGCAAAAGCTAACATCAGAAGGTTAAGGAATGAGTTTTTTATAGATGTTTGTGAGACAAGGCTCACTTTATTCAAATGCAGCATAATTCATGTTGTGACTGCGCGCACATGTGAACAGAAAGTACTATTCTTTGACAGCTATGTAATGCAGGTGTTGACTGTCAACTTCACAGGCCACTGTGAGGTAACCTCTGGATAGCTGTAACACTTGGATGGCCAAACACACAAGTTGTGACATCCTCAGGAACTTTGAAGGGATAGTTTGAATTTTTTGAAGTGTGGTAGTATGGGATACATATCCATAGTCAGTGTATGACATAACAGTAGATGTCAGTCAGCACAGCCCAAGGTTTCAGAGGCAGGCAGAAGTCTGACACAAGAGCTAAACAATGTACTGCTGTGAATGGGGGTCTTGGGGGTCCAAGAAAATTAGTTTTAGCTGTCTAAAAAAAAAGTCCCACCAAAAAAAAAAAAAAAAAAAAAAAAAATCAATATCTGTTTCAGTGTACGGTATATCAAGAGTATTTTACGTTACGTTTCTGTCAGAAAGCTCATTCTGACAGGAAAGCCACTAGCAGCTTCAGTTCTCCATCTATCATCATTTTAGCTCAACACAAGAGCTCCCTCAGGGAATGGGTCAAATGCAGAGAATTTCACACACTCAGGTGTGTGACAATCAGTGGGACTTTAACTTTAAACTAACCCTTTTAAATGGCAAACACAAACAAAATAGCTGTTCAAGGCAGGGGTAGACTTGCACCTCCTGTGTTTGGAAATCACTGTCTGAAAGCAAGGTAAAGCAGTTAAAATATTCTAAATATAGCATACACTTAAACTGATTTTGATTTTTTTAGGTGGCTAAAATACATTTTGTTGCAGACCCCTCCACACCAGTAGATAGCTGAGCTTGCATGTCAGACTCCAGCCTGTTTTTCCTAACTGGGGGTGTGCTGACTGACACCTACTCTATGTAATACACCAACTATTAAGTCCCCGTAAAACCCACTTCAAAAAATATGAACTATCCCTTTAAACTGACAACAAACATGTAATATTCCGTATTCCTTAATTGGGTTTACAGTTGTAGATTTCAAATTGGTCCAGGTGTGTAAATGTATAATGAGCCTTCATTTACGGCACAGGGATATCTCAAACAGACATAGTTTTAAATAGTTTGCCCAACCGAGCATTGGGCGAAGTTATTTGCTTTGGAGTAGCCACGAAGCAGAAACGACATTTCGCTACGTTGCTAGCGTTAGCAATTTAAGGAATTGCCAGCTTAATTATTAAATGCTAAAATAACGTTATACCGCTAAGGAAATCTATTCGCGTTGAAGCAAGAATACGTCTACAGATTGTCAAACACTGCGTTTAGCAAAATGCCTCGGGTTCAGCTCAGTGACTAACGTTAGCTACTTTTAAGAATTTCTTCCGGAATGACTCCTCAGTCACTGAACAGGGCTGTACTGCCAGCTAACACTATCTCAGCAAACAACTTATCTACCCATCAAGCTGGTTATGGGCGTCACCGCCCTACGAAGAGAATAGCCCAGTGATACGCGTATATATTGATAAACGTTTTTTGAAGTGTGCCTTCACTCCGCCTGTAGCATTTTCCCCGACCGGCTAGCTTCATAATGGTAAATCAAGGTTGTTTCAGATGGCCGAGTGTTGCTCAAAGACTACGGGCCAGCTTCGCTAGCCCATGAGCTAACTTAGCTAGCGGCGTTAGTGATAGCAGTTCCTTTAAGAGTCCTCTCAAAGTCAAAACTCAGTTGCAGCTGGACTCTTGGGAATAACATATATATTGCGTAGCTAATACGATATGCTGTAAATTGTATTTCTTTTGTAAAATAGATTAAAAGATACTGTATGAACTGTCAGTGAAGTCGGCTTACCTGATGCGGCGCAGGCCGCCATCTTTGTCACTGCTTTACGGAAGCGCGGAGCTGCGCACGCCCAATGATAACTGGCGCGTGTCCGCCGGAAGAAAATAAGTAACAATCCTTTATTCAGTACTTAATATTCTCGTTTGACTTGCTTCATGACGTTGGTATACTTCTGCTTATAACACTAGCGTTTGTTTCATATGCACTGTCCCTCCTCTTATCCTTATCTGGAAAAGGGGAAAAAAAATACCACGTGTTGAAATGTATAGTGTAAAGAGATGGCCTTATGATCGGGGATCCAAAATAGCTGTACAGTCTTGGCAAAATCGTGCTATTTGCTGGTCACTGAAAAGAAAATGAGCAGGGTTAACTCTATAAAGCGCAGATATAGGTGGGCGAGTAAAGTGGGACACTTTCTGATGATTTACCTTCTGTGTCTTTTTTAAATCATGATTCAAATGGCTTAGCCCTTTATGTGAAACTGTTATAAAAAGCTTAATTATACTATTCAAAAAAAGAGAAAAGAAAAACATTACAGACAGGGTGGATGATTCTATCTCAAACACAAGTTCGTTGACTCCAAACCTATTTTTTCCAGGCATTGTTATTATGTAAGTGTAGACCGAATGAATTAAATACACAATGTGTTTTTCTTTATCTTAAATTTATTTGATTTTGAAAATGAGGATCCCTCTTAAACCTGTCTTATAATTAATTGACACAGGCTAAATTCCATTTCTGCTATGGTTTTTACAGTAGCTTAGTCTCATTTTATACAGTCTATGGTTAGTCTTCATGTCAGTACACATGCATTTTTGCTTTAACCTTACTATTAAACTGACCTGAAAGTGAAACTTATCTATGCTCTCTTCAAAGCAAGATTCTGACATTAAGGTTTTAGTGAAAATGCACGTTTCAGAAGTTTTGAGCATAAAACTGGATAAACAAGACTTGGATTCTACTGCAAGAGCTGTGTGAGTGATTGTAAACTGTTGTTTTGATAAAGTTTTGCTGTTGTTAAATATGATCCCCAATCAATAAATCAATAGCCTATGTTCACCGTTTTTCCTGGAGGCATGCGAGAAAAACATACTCTTCCCGCATTCAAGGTAACACAGCATGACTGATTTACAAATTATCATTTTGTGAGTGAAGTATTCAACTCTGTTTTTTTTCTAGTTTATTTGACTTGCAAAAGTAAACAGCAGTCCTTCAGCATGGTAGCAGATACTCCTTGACATAAAAGGATGTGACGTTTTGTGGGCATTCCCATAAATAGGCCTACTGATTCTATCTGCTGTATTTATTATGAACACGGATGGCACCAACCCAGTCCCACGCATTGATTCAGTCCACTTTTAGTAGGCTGTATGTGTTAGCAAACAGCCCCTCCTTGCCCCACTTTCTCTCTTTCTGTTTATCAAACCACAAACAAAACAAACTATCAGAGAAGCTTCATGAGCTTAGCTAGCTAGCTGCTGCACCACCTGAACTACTTTGCTGGGGGGAATAGGTCGCAGCTCTGGAGACGGACCCTCTGCTTCAGAAGCACTTGGTCTAACCAGGCCCCTTGGAAGTGTGCTGGGTTTTGAAGCCAATTTTTGTAGTGGCCAAACAGTGGTACTGCAATTTACAGGGTCTCACGATGCCATTGAGCTGGTCACTGAAAAGAAAATGACTTTTTTCCCATTGACTTACATTGTGAAAGAGATATCTGTTAACCAGTGGATATATTTTTTTTTGAGCAACACAACCCCCATAAAGCGATTTGTCTAACAGGATTTGATTCATCTGGCCCAAAAATATTTGGAAAGTCTAGAAGAGCTGCAAGATCCATCCATTTTCGTAACCGCTTATCCTCTTGAGGGTCGCGGGGGGAGCTGGAGCCTGCCAGCTGACGCTGGGCGAGAGGCAGGGTACACCCTGGACAGGTCTCCAGACTAACGCAGGGCTGACACATAGAGACAGACAAACATTCACACTCACATTCACACCTACGGTCAATTTAGAGTCACCAATTAACCTAGTCCCCAACATGCATGTTTTTGGACTGTGGGAGGAAGCTGGAGTACCTCGAGAAAACCCACACTGACACAAGGAGAACATGCAAACTCCGTTGAGGGATCGAACCAGGAACCCTCTTGCTGTTAGGCGACAGTGCTAACCACTGTACCACCGTGCCGCCCTAGGCTGCAAGATGAAATCATTTTATCCCCATTCATGTTAGTGTGTGGCCACATTGTTGTGAGTCTCTCACACGCCTGCTCTATGTGCCACACAGTGCAGAAGTATTGCCGATCATCCCTGAATTATCCAGATAATTGTAGATGCGGCAGTTAAACCATTTTGGCTTTATGTGCCACTGAGCAACTCTCATAGGAATTTATAGGAATGAACGGGGTCACGCGTTCAAGGCTGGATCCAGGTCCCTTAATACATTCATGGGTCTAACCTTTGTAACTAGGGGCGCACCATCATGAGAGGCAAACCAGGCAAATGTTTGGGCACCCCCAAAAATATTTGGGAAAAGGGGCTCCCAATGGCCAGTCATATTGGCACATTTTGCAGTGACATATACAACCCCCCTTAAACCTCCTATGAAGGCACTGTTTTGACATGGATAACAGCATGTTAGCCACATAAAATTAGCTACAGTAGCTGTGTGGCTAGTCAACTCTGCCAGTGCTAAAATGGTAAGTTAGCAAACAAATGTTAAGTTAGTTTCAGCTATTTCACTATGTGGCAGAATGGGAAAATTTCCCTTCTCTCCCCCTCCTCTGAACCTGCACGTGGGTCATTAATGGCCTGTGCCCTGATTGCTGGGCGGAGCTGGCAAGCCTATTATCTGGACAGTTGGCCGCTGCTCAGTTTGGCGTTCTTGTCTTTTCCTGGAGTCTGATGCAGGCGCATCGTGGCCCAACTGTGCACCGAAATGTGGCGCATCCGACGCTACTGCTAATTTGTCTCTGTGAGTTTTGTCTCTGTCTTCTGCCTATAATCAGCTCTCTGCAATGTCGCAACCTCTACTGGTTTGTCTCAGGGCCCATCTCCACTGGCTTCCACTCTCCCTTACAATGAATATTGCCTGTAACTGAGTTTGTCCACACTACAATGTGTTCAGCCCTGCAGCCCGGTCAACGTGTCACAGTGACGCATCCTGTTGTAATATAATGTTGTACTGGCTTGTGTTTTCTTTTCTCTAAAATTGATTTGTTAGTTATGTTTTGGTTTGTTTATTTTGAAGATTTGTTTTGCTTGAATTATTCCTGTCTTATTTATTTCTTTTGTTTCGGTTTCTTTAGACATTGTGTGTCTTTGGATCAACTGTGGGATGTGTTGGATAAATGTTAATTCTGTCTCAGTATACTATTGCTGTATTCATTTGGGTTAGTGCAGTGTTGAGGTGGTCGGAATGTTTTTCTGTAGCAAACTAGTAAGTATATTGGTGTGTATTAATCAAAATTTTATTGTTGGACTTGTCCTTTTAAAAGAAGAGATGTTTGATAAAATTCTATTGTATTTGTACTAAATTTTATGTCTGTGGTCGGGGTGTTGGTTTGCCCTTATCTTATAAATAATTTCCTGGGGGGCAAAATCCAGGATGGAGAAGATGCACAAAATCAAAGAACTCAAAGACTTAAATGTTTTCACCTCTCACCTCTGTTGGAGACACACCCTAGTCATGTGTTGTATGACTGGTAGATTTATGATAATTGTTATTATTAAACAAAGTCCGAGTCCTTAACCACATGTTTTCTCACAATGTTTTGTCACAGCTTTTGTCTCTGAACAAATAGCATGTGAAGTGTTATTTTTATGTTTTGTCTGCACTTCAGGAAGAGTAATAACAAAAATACTAAATAAACTAACTGATAGTATTTTCAGGGATTTTATTGTGTCCCTCTAGGTTTTATATAGAAGCTGAAACCACAACTTGGTGGTTGGTGGACACCAGCAGTGAGGAAGGCCATCAGGCTGAAGAAGGAGGCCTTTTGGGTCTCGCTGGCCCAAGGGTCACCTAAAGCAGCAGACAGCTACCCGTTGGCCAGAGGGGTTGCAGCAGGGCAGTCGCTTAAGCAAAAACCCTGGGTGTGGGAGGAGTTTGGGGAGGCTATGGAGAAAGACTTTTGGTTGACCTCAAGGAAGTTCTGCCAAACCAATAAATGCCCCAGGGAGGGAAAGCAGGGCTTGTCTCAGGCTGTGCTCAGCAGAGAAGGAGAACTGCAACCCAAACTGGAGATATTGTCAGGCGGTGGAAGGAGCACTTTAAGGAACTCCTGAACCCGGCTGTCACGTCCTCCGTGGAGGAGGCAGAGCCTGAAGACTCAGGGGAACTCTTGCCCATATCCCTGGCAGAGGTTACTGAGGTAGTCAAAACCTAACTATTGTATGCCTCCACAAATCAGTTAAGTTGCACTTATAGTGTACATCCATGTGTGTAACATGGACTGTATTTAAAGATGAGCAACATGTCAGCTCCCCATAAGTGAAGCCGAAACATCTGGATTGCCCCTGGTGGCTGGCTACAGTACAGGTCATAAAGCCTGCCCTCTCCATGTTAGTGGATGGGGCATGGGCCAAAAAGTACATATCAAATTAGTTTTTCCCAAATATGATTTCTGTCATTTAAGGCAGCTTTTATCACACTGCTGTTTGTTCAAGTGTTTGTTTCTCTGATTAGTTTGGCTTTGATTATTTTAATGCTACAAATCAGGGATTTTACAACATAATTGGTAGCTGTGTGAGCCAGTTGGTGAGCTCACATTCAGTGGTGCTGCTCATAACAGAAGATCGATGCAGTCAGCACAGTTTCAAGGTGAACACCCAAGATTAGTATAACCAGGTCAGTATCTGACTACATGTCTCCCCTTCTGCTCCTGAGTTGTGAAGTTGAGTAATGGCCTGAAAAGTGTTTTTGCAGTACATTATGATGTCACAGTGAAGCTGACCTTCAACCTTATGGATATAAAATGTCATCACTTCATTGTTTTATTGTGTTAGGCATTTGTGTTAAATTTTGTCATGATTCGTTTATGAATTCTTGAATTATGGCCAAAAATATGTTTTGTGTAGTCACAGTAACCTTGACCTTTGAC